ATGTCATGTTAAATTAAGCATATAGACTCGTTGCTGTTGTTCCAGCAAAGATCTTATTTTCATTTTAAAGATTGTCTAGACGGTAATGTGCGGATTATCTGTGTGTGGGCGCTTTTCTCAACAATCGATTGGACCCGTTCACTGAAGTGACAGCCAACGTGAACCAGCATGTTTATTGCATCCTAGATGATTAATTGTTGCCTTCTAGTAAACATTTTCGTGATGAAGATGCTGTTGACAGCCCTACTTTTCTAGATGACAACAGTTCATTGTGCTCGTGGAATATGTGACTGGCAATATGGATACTCACACACTTATTACATCTCGATTGGCTTGCAAAACCACTTGAGTAGAATTTAATAGAAAATTTGTGGGACATGTTGGTACTTCGGGTAGTCAGTACCCCCGCAAGTCTATACAGGGTGTCCCGTAAATATTGCGACAAACTTCTAGGGAAAATAGGGCGCATCATAAGGATTAAGAATTATCTAGAAAACCATGACCGGAAATGTCATCTTAAACTGCTAGGGGCGCTTTCCTATTATGGACATGTTGTTCACGTGGAGGCCGTGATAGCTTGGGCTATGGGCCCAAGTCTAGGTGGTCGTGGGTTCGATCCCCGCCGGCAGAGGACTCCCCGTGTAGTCAATGGTGACTGATGCACGTTAAATCTGTCGAATTGTAAAGTTCTCTATGTTCCCATAACAAATCATACCTCTGGGAGTACTGATTCAGGAGTTTCCTTGTCTTCTGAATTTGTTCAAAATTACAAGGCTACGGAGTTGAGCGTTAGTAGTCGTAAAACCATACAATTGGATCGGCTGTTCAACGGCGGTTATAAAATAAAAATATATAAAATAAAAATGTTGTTCCCTTGAATTTGCTCGTTTATTATCTTAAACAGATGTACTGAGATGCTTTAAGGTGTACTGAAATAATGTTAGAAAAATTGTAAATGGAATAGAGAACCTTATTCAATCATTTATATTCTTAAGGTGCTATATTCTAAAGGTGCTTTTTTCATGGGGTGTTTTTAAAAAGTGCTTGATATTCCCTCTTTCAAAATGAGATTTTTTCTTTATGATGTTGATTTTATGTTGATTTTTGCTTCGAATTATGCAAAAAGACACAGTTCACATTATTCTATTCAACGTTTTCATAATTCACTCAACCCCAATCTATTTCGGCGTATTGTCAGTCCGTAGCATATGAAAACGCCATTCGTTTTGCATGATTCAAAATTTCATGGTTTTTGACATGACGGTTAAAACAAGATAAAACCGTCAATTCCAATAACTTTCCAACCCTGCCAAATTATATTTTTTTGAAGTGCTTAAAAATGTTTTTTGAGTGCTTGAAAAGTTGTTAATAGGTGCTTATTTCTTGTTGAATAATTCGGCTACGCGTCTTGTTATATTGTCAAGAAACAAAAATTGTAGCATTTGTGGGATTGGTGAGCGAAGCGAGTTTTAAGTGTAAAGTTTAGTAATATATTGATATTTTAATGACCATTAGATGTAATTGGATTAAGTATTTTATTATTACTGCATACCGACTATTTAGTATAATGTTTACATTGTTATTGTTCTTACCAATCTTTAAAAGTGAATAAAAATGTATAGTTCAATATGATGGTTAAATATTTATGAGTCCCATGTTACCAAACATTGAAATAACGCAGTTGAAAGTAATAAAAAAGTGTTTCAGCAAATGGATGCGTAGCTGAATCTCCGATGTGTACCGAATGTTATTTTTGGTAAAAGCCCCAGATCGATGGAGTTATGCTTACCAGGGCGTTATGAACGGGTCCTTTCTCGCTACTCCCAAGCCGAGAGATACAGACGATGAAAAATCGCTGCGAAGCTTTTTGTCAGAACTTTCATATATATTTATAAAAAATCAGCTTCCTTTTCTCATCAAATATTTATTTCTTGAGCGAATATCTCTGCCTCTTTCGTTATTTGTTTTGGTCTCCTTTTTTAGGAGCAGTATTTTTTTTGTTTATTTATCATGAAAAAGTGAAAAGGTAGCAATAAACTTTTTAAAGTGCTAAGAATCTTCTCCAAAGAAAAAAGATTACATTTTATGAAATAAAAAGTTTTTTTTCTTTGTGCCTAATCTAAAAGTAATACCAAAAGTGATAATGCATTTTCAATTATCTTCAAAATGTTTTTCTTAATGGGGTAATTTGAGTTAATTTTTGATTTATTCTACAATACTAATGTGCAATATTTTTGACTCGTTGTAATGATAGTTTTAAAATTTAAAAATAAGGGAAGATTTGTATCCCCGTGTTAAAATATTATTTGCTGTCAATGGTTACTTTTGAAGTTTTTCTGAATTTGTTAAATTTGATTATAAATTAAAGATTTTTATTGTAGATTTATTTAAACGCAGAAAAAATGCACTTAATTACATATTTCGAAAATTGGTTTAAAATTTGACTAATGCTGTTTATAATGTTACAGAGCACACTGCTACTAACGCAATTATCAGGGAACTTTTTAAACTTGTATACATTTTTCAAAAAGGAATTAATCATTATTATTTTCTGAAGATTAGTCCTTGAAAAATTTTCATCAAAATATTTTCACCAAAATGCCTATGAAATTGCGGCAAATATAAACTTGAATGGTTGCACTCAAATACGGTAATTAATTTATAATTATTGCTGACTTTTAATTAAATTATAAAATCAGACACTAAAAATGATTTTCTCTGATGAAACATACGTTTTATACGACTGATTTGGATTCTTGATCATTAAAATGTAAGGGTATCCGCAATCTGATAAAGTATATTCTCAGTTGGAGAAATATACTTTTGGCCAGGAGAGAGTGGTCGAAAATTTTTGCCCCAATGTTAATTTTACTTTTTGTGTATTTCGCCATATCTTTGGAACCCTTGAAAAGAATCCACAGCTATTTGCACGCTGCTTTATTACACTAGCTATTTTATAATTTCATTATATTGTTTTATTTCATTAATTAAAGGTTGAAAAATTTAGAATTATAGAGTATATAAATTTTTAACATCTTATCTTACGATTGTGTAATATGAAATGTTAAAAATCAAAAAAATCGAACTGAATTAGTCGAGCTGTCTCTGAGAAATGAGAATATAAAAATTATGCATTTTTTGAAATTTTACGAATCTGATTTCGTTTAATTTTTTTTTATAATGTCATTTAAAATTACATTGTTTAAAATTGTGTAAAAAAGTGCATTTCTTACAATAGAAATTTTTTTCGATAATCATTAAATAAATAAAAAATAAAAAATTGCGATTGAAAAGCATTCTTTAAACGGAATTGCGTTTTCGTGTTAGATTTTGTAAATAAATTAACACTTAGCACTAAATTGGCGTATTTGAGTATAACCACTCACCAATTAAACGTTTATATGATTCCGATATTTTGAACTAAATTCTTTTCGAATGATGTCTTTCATTTTATCGTTACTGTACTTAATTTTATTACTACGTATGGTGTTTCTAGGAAATTTCAAGAAGCGGATTCATCAAAATTTCTTTCCAATTCATTCATTGTAACTAATTTTGCGATAACAGTAACACTTGGTTTTTTATTTTATTTAAATCATTATTCAAAATCAAATGATTTTTTTTTGAAAAGCAAATCATTAATTATTCATTGTGCTAATTTAATTTCTTTTTACAATAATTCATTTGACAAAATTACATTAGTACTTGGTGTTTATTAAGGTAATAAATTAAAGCACTTTTTAAATGTGTTTTTAAAAGATCTTAAAATTCTTTCGGATTTTCTGAATTTAAATTAAGAGCAAAGCTAAAATTTAGTACTGTTTTTTTTAAAATTTATGTCATACATCTGTAAAAAGTAGTCATTGAACATGGATTGTTTCGCAAAAAAACATGATGCCAACAAAATCCTTTTTTTAAAACACAATCTAAGACGCATTTTATTTTAATATTGCAAGTTTTGTAGGTTAAAAGTATTTAATGTGTTAAAAGGAAATAATTATAACATAGCTTAAAAAGAGCTGTTAATCTGATTAAATTCAGATTTAATTTCTTGTAGTGCAATTTTGTAATATTTTTATTTGATGGGCTTTGTTATTCTATACAGAAAGGTTTGCCAGCCTGCAGTAAGACAAAGTATAATGCAATAACTAACAAAAAAAATCTTTGAAATTCTTTTTGTGGTTTGTTTATTTTAGTATGTTCTTCGTTAGTTAAAAATGATGCAATTCTATTTATTTTTCCTTAAATTTAAATCATGCATTTGTTTGCAACATGCCTTACTGAAATTATGAAACAATTTTTAATGTAGTGATATTGCTGAAAAAGAATTATTAACACTAGATTGCATAAGGAAGTCATTTTGACTGCTTTCAATTTAAATTAGAAAAACAGTGATGTATATAATGACACAATTTCTTAGAATTTTGTGACTTTTTGTACAGCATATAATTTTTTTTATTGTTAATATTTATTTACTAATAACTTGTTATATAACTGTAAATATTATAAAAAATTTAAAAAATTTATTTTAGACAAATTTATTTACGCATTCACAATCCAGTCATTTTGACTGCTTTTTGGCAATATAGGCATATACTAATTTTCCGTCTTTCTAGTGTTAATTATCTATTTATTAATATTTCAATTATATTTATTAAATTTAATTGATTATAAACTAAGAATTTTTAAAGTATTTTTTTAAAATAAAGAAATCCGTTTTAAATAAAAAATAAATAAAATTAATCAGATTTTTTGAATAAAAAAAGTAATTGAAGAAATATTTTAAATTTTCGTAAAATAAACACAGAGTTAATTCATCAGAATTTTTAAAATTTTTTTTACATCATTTAATTAAGATTAATGTATGGTTATTAAAAATAGAGTAAAAAAAATATAAAAAATTGATTTTTTTTAGTTATTCAACTCCATTTCTTGGCGTCAGTTCCCCTTTTTTATGCTTCATTTTTAAATAAACATTTTGCAATTATTTTTACTAGTATTTGATTAAAAAGTAAAGTTCATCGATTATTTTTGTAATTAATCAACTTATTGTTTAACTTAAACTTGATTAATTTTTCTTTTCATATTTAGACTTGAGTCAGATTGAATGAAAATAAAAACTTTCGAATTTTTTTAGTCAGTCTCTTTTGACTAGGCATTGCAAAATTGTCTAAAAATCGGCATAGCAACCGTAACATCCCAAATGTAGCAGAATGCAAACACTCCACATTAATGTCGTTCCTTTTCATCCGTCGAACGTTTTGAAACGAAGAGAGATATGATGAACGGTAATTTGGAGGATTTGAGAGGCTTCAGAGGAGAGGGGAGGGTCGCGAGTGTAAAATTTTCGTTAGGGGAAAGAGGAAGGGTGAGATAAGTGATGAAAAACGTAAGATGCGCGGGCTAGTACCAGGGCGCCTGCGCTTATTTACCCTTCCCCTTGCCCCCAATTTTGAGAGAGGCGAGCGGGCTGTTATACGCGTACACAGATCCATTGATCGGTTGGCTTCGCAGCCGCCGGCCGACGTTCTACCGAGGGTCGTTCCTCGGCTGGCTATGGCCAATGACGATCGTGAGAAAACTCTCCGTTGTCCAGCTTCATATCAAAGAGGATGGGCGACTTTTTCCCGTCTACCAACTACTTCAGCGACAACAGAACTCTACCTCCTCCGCCGCCGCCAACCCTAACGTCACCATGACTCGTAAGAGAATCCTCTTTTTTGATACTACTTAATACTCTGTCAATTACCACCCACTCGTATCTCACCAGCTGATTCCCCACCCCCTTTTTAGATACATCCTAAACGAACCCCTTTTGTCATATCTCAACATGCTGAGTGTTTTGATCTTGATATATGTTAAGAGTATTTTTAATTACTGTATTTTTATGCTCTTTCATTTTTAGAGGAATCTCTTTATTGTTAAAACAACAACTTTGTTTTCCTTTTTCAGAAAGTAGTACAAAAAAAAAAAAAAAAAAAAAAAANAAAAAAAAAAAAAAAAAAAAAAAAAAAAAAAAAAAAAAAAAAAAAAAAAAAAAAAACTATTATTGAAGACTGTATTCAGTTCTAGATAACTCAACTTAAGGTATCGAACTAGTTGTGACAACTTTTTTTTGAAATATTAACATAAAATTTATAAAACGGGCAGAAAAAAATTATTTATGATATTAGTATTTTTTTAAACGGCTGTTTTTAGGTGAAAATAAGGCATTTTTTAAATGTACGCTAAACATTGTAAACAATGTACAAAAAATCCTAAAATACTAAAATAAAAAAACCTTTCAGGATTTTATTTAGAAGGCTATCAACTATGTTTTGAACTATTATCCTAAAGGCAAGTGCATATACTACTGAGTTAGGAATCAATGTAGTTAAAAAAAAATTTCTTTTAAAAATTTCCGGACTTGTCTTTGAGAAAAAACCTGCATAAAAAAATAAAATTCTACTTTTTTTTCTCTTGTCTGTTCTGTTCTTCAAAACATGTGCACTATCATAAACATTCTTGATAAATTGTAGATAATTATTTTAAATACAACATGAGAAATCGTGTTTAAGGTAGTGTAAAATGTGAAAAATCTGATTCTGAGAAAAACGTATTCAAGGAAATAAAATTATTAGTTTATCCACTGTTATCCTTTTGCACAAAAACTGCTATAACTTTGTAAATAATTAGAGTAACAATAAAAGTCGAGTATTTTTCGAAAGCTAAGAGTACAAAGATTTTAAATTTATAATTGACTCAATTTAAAAAAATATTGACCCAAAATCATGTTTTTGCACTAGTTAGATACTTTAAATCATTGTTACCAGTGACTAATATTTTGTTTATAGATTATGATATGCATCTATGTTATCGCGAAATATAGATAAGTAAAAAAATTTTATGTTTGTAGTATTTAAAGATATTAAAGTATTAAGGTAACTCCTAGACCTTCCAAATCTTGCATAAGTCAGTAGTCTATTGTATGATTGTTTAGTCATTTTGTGCTAAAAAGACTTGTGTATTGTGTAAGTTTTTATGTGATTCTCTGAAAATTTTTTTGCGTTATAAATTTATTTCGTTTATAACACATATTTAGTTTATAACACAGTTTGATTTCGTTACATTGATAACATACTAACGTTTCTCTTCAGCGCAGTTATAACTGTCTTAGGCTACTTTTTTAGTCACCCTATGGTAAATGAATTTATGTTGTTGACTGGAACTTTTTTTTTCTATAATTTACTCACATTTTTATGGAACGTCAATGTCTTAGAAACAAATTACTTACGTCGTTTTTAAAAATGTTCTTGCATTGAATTGCCTCACTATTACTATTTAAAAATTGTGACAAATGTGAATTAAATCAAATTTATTTGGGTAGTTCAATCTTTCACAGGATTTTGTGAACACTTTTAATAATAAATAAAAAAAGATAAAGCAACGAAGAAACATTTATTTCAACTATTAGTATTGTTATTATCAATGTTGTGTGATATTGTAAAAACAATATAACTTTAAAATACCTGTTTTAGAAAATTTAACATTTTAAATTAACGTTTTGCTCTATTTTAAGATTGTCTAGTTCTAGCACCTACCGCTAGGGTTCCACGTACGGTTAGTTGTAGAATTATCTAGTTATAGCATTTCAAAGTTTTAGTTGCATGGCTTAATTTAAAAAAAAAAAAAAAATTCATGTATTATTCGAAATTGAAAAATTCTGAGCTAAGTTTCAGTACTATATCCACATTTACTAGTTTTAAATGCAATGCATTAAATATCAGTTATTACTACTTTAAATTGAATAAATATTTCATATAAACTCTTACGATTTCGCTCATTTTATAGTAATTAGAGATACACTCATTGAGTTTTTGCACTTCATGTCTTTTCCTTAGTAATTATAGATTTGGGAAATGAAATACAATTAATGGTTATCGGAATTTTCCTAATGAAATAGTATTAATTTTCTCTTCCGTTTATACAATTCTGTAACTTTGATTTCAGAAATTTCAAAAACTTAAAAATCTTTTGGATTCATTAAATTTGAAGAAATTTTATTCGGCTTTTGCAAACTTTAATGTCGAAAATTCACCCAAGGGATAACGCTCAAGGCATTTTTTAATTAAATTTTCATCAGGTGCGTCTATTAGTTTAATTTGAAAGGCGCATATTTATACTTTCAAACTTAAAAATTTGACTTATTTTAATATTACACATTGTTTTACTTAACTCTTTGATTTTTTTTGTCATTATTTTTAGTACTTTCTTCACATGGTGCAATTTGTGCAGAAGCGAACTTGTCATACATGCCTGAAGAAGGCCTGACCTATCCGTCTGTATCGGGCTGCGTGTGGCCTGTTACTAAAATTTTGCAAAATTTATAAATTCTTTTTGAATAAAGTCAGGAACAGTGAAGGAAAAAGTAGAAAACTTGTGGAAAAATGTGAAAACAGTAAATAGACTCAATAAAAAGAGATTAAAAGAGAAACAGTTTAATAAACGATGTTTTCAACTAAATCAGAGTAATTCAAAAGTAATGGTTGTTTTTGAAAGGGCAATTGGAAAATAATAGCGTTCAATATTTTTCATTATTCCCTCACGGATTATCAATAACTAAATGAAAGAGAAGATTAAACTAATTGATGAAACTAATGATAGTAAATATTTAAATGCTTTTATTATTTTAAATTAATTTAAATACTGTCATAGTTCTTTGTTCGATTGTTACATTAAATGTAACAAATGTTTGAAAAAAACTATATATATATATATAATAACAGGGCTACATCTGTGTTATCATTGGTGTATTCATCTTAAGAAATGCAGTCGAAGCCATAATAAGTTATCAAAAGGTTTATTAAAAGATATGCTTGTGGTTATAACAGTTCATATCCCCACTCCGCAAAGGAGGGGGTGTGGACGAAACTACGGATGGTTCCGGCAGATGTTTATTGGAAACGTTATTCAACAAGAGACGTGCGAAAACCTTCGATCTTGCATTAAATAGTACAGAGATTGGTGTAATTAGGTTCCAGTCGTACATGTCTTTGTAACTATGAAAAATCATTTAATGCTTCCTAATATGGAAGTGAAAGAGGGACAAGATTCTAAAAATAACTCCTCCTTTCAAATATAAATCTAATTATTATTCAATGGTATGTTTTCAGCCTTGAATTCCCAAAATAGAATATCTCTACCCTTACTCTTTAACAAAGACATTATATGAAACCGAAAGAGTTTTAATTCTTTTATTAATACAAAAGTATTTATTATTTTTGTATTTTATATATATATATAAAAACAAAGAAGAATTATAAAATAAAATAAAACAGAAAATTTTTAATGGAAAAACGTAAAGGTTTTCATCAGGACGCATTCCTTTACGATGGTAAATGCAATATTTCCAAATAAAAATTACTCTTCATAAGGCGTCTATATAGCTAAAAAATAAAAATGCAATTGAAAAAGAGTTTGAGATAAACGAAAGCAGAAAACAGACTTACCGACGAGGAGTATATATATATACACACACACACACTGATGCCTGTTGGCTTAAAATTCTTTTCCAGTGTTACCCACAATATCTTTCAGTTTGGCCTGACCGCCTAAAGTTATATTTTACTATGATAGAATAAATGATCACAGGCAAAAGTATTTTTTATTTAGGTAATAATGAGTTTTATAGCCTACGAATTACGATTTTAACTGGAATTGAAGTCATTTTTTTTATAATTTTAATATATCTGCTTAATGAATTCTTTGGTCGAGATTTCACTGCTTTCTGTCTAGCATACTTATTTTATGCCAAAACAATCTATTTTTATAAACTGTATGAATTCAAATCAATTCAATAATCCTTAGTTATACCTTAAGTAATCCATAAGATCATATATGACTTTTCAAAGTCTTTATCGTTAGTCATGGTTTTTTTCTTTCGCATCACCGGATTTAGCACTTCTAAGCTCTTAGTTGATGAATCAAGTAAGTAATATTTATTAGAGTAGCTGTATTTAATATAAGAAGAAAACATTACTTTATTATAGTACTACTTTATTATAGTTATATATTATCTTTGCTTTATTTTATTTACCATAATCTAATTTGAAATAAAAATCATGCAAACAGTCTCAAAACTATTTGATTATGTGGATTATTTGTCTAAAAATTAAAGTGAAAACAAAAAGCAAATCTGTTACATTAAACATAGCCAAACAGGACGAACTTCTAGAAGAGTTAGGACACATCGTCAAGATTGAAATTGCTTGGAAATCCATGCCCGTAAATGTTATACGTCGCTTGAAGAGCTTCCCTATTGTGAAGTGTTTCTTTGTGTGCTTCTGAGGGTCATAATAGGAGAGCACCCCTAGCTTCGTACAATGGCATTCTATGCTACTTCAATTCTAATGATATTTTCTAACTTCCCTATAAGTTTGTCGCCAAATTTGCACGACCTCTGTTATATATTACGTTTTTAAACTTGTACCCTTCGAAAAAAAGACTTTAAATGTCACTTTAAAAAAATTAGGAGCAAAACTCATTTGAAATCCCCCACCAGAATCTTTCAAGATGAAGTATTTGTATGAATGCAACAAAAAAATTATTCCCCAGAGCAATCATCTAAGATCGTTCTCTAAAAACTTAGAAGTTTTGAATCTTAAAACATCAAAAAAAAAAAAAAAAAAAAAAATATCTTCTTAATCTTTCATTTTATTTGTAC